GGGGGGAATGGCCCCGTGCCGAGGGAGGCTGAGCCCTGGTTTCTGTTCCGACTCCCAGCTGCATCCCAGCTGCTGCTCCCGGAGCAATTCCCAATCCCAAAGGTCCCACAGCCCCCTGAGTGCGTGGGCTGTGCAGCTTCTTCCTGCCCAGAGCAGCTGGGGCTGCCCTGCATCCCTGGCAGTGCCCAAGGCTGGGCTGGGAGCTCCTGGGGCAGGAGAAGCTCCTCCACCAGCCCAATTCCCAATCTCCCAGCAGATCCATGATTCTCCTGCATCCCTGGCAGTGCCCGAGGTCGGGCTGGGAGCTCCTGGGGAGGGGAAGCTCCTCCACCAGCCCCATTCCCAATCTCCCAGCAGATCCACACTGCTCCTGCATCTTGGACGCTCCAAAATCCACTTCATCCCCCAGAGCAGAGGGGTCCCAGCCCTGCAGCAGCTCCAGGCCCTTGTGCTGCTGGATCTGGGGCAGCTCTGCAGGTGGGGTCTCACCTGAGGGGCACAATCCCCATTTCCTGCTGCCCACGCTGGGGATCAGCCCGGGCATGGGGCTGGAAATGTGGGATAACAAAGGAATTTCAAGAAGAATTTCCCCCAGGGATGTAACTCTGAGCTCAGCAGCTCCTTGTTTCAGGAGGGAAATGCTGGAGCAGCTGCTGGGAGAGGCAGGTGGCACCAGCCTCAGCTCTCCAGGGCCTCCCCGAGCTGGAAAAGCTGGGAATGTCACACTAAGAGCTGAACCTCAGGGAATTCCCTCAGGGAAACCCTGCAAGCTTGGGATCCCTGGCACGGCTTGTGGAGTCAGAGCAGCAGGGAGATCACTCCCAGAAAATTCTCCTTCCCCCACACTTCCTGGGGATAAGCAGGTGGGAGCACCCATCCATCCATGCTCCCCTGAGGCTCCAGGTGTGACACCAAGCCCTGCCAGATTCCCATGGCCTGCTGGAATTCCATCCTGCCTCCCAGGACTTGTGGGGAATGCTATTCCATCCCAGGACAGCTCCCTTCCCGCTGGGATAACCCCCACTGAGAGCCAGGGAACGGCAGCTCCTGAAGGAATTCCAGGGCTCCAGTTGAAACCAGGTCGGATTTTATCCAAAGCTGGACTCGACCCCAAAGCCAGACTGGGATTTTCCTCCTTATCCCAACCAACCCTGCCCTGATCCCTCGGGAACTCAGTGCCTCCACTTCAGCTCAGAGTGCTGCTGGAACCATCCAGAGTGGGAGAAGCAGGGAGCAGAGCTCTCCCTGCAGCTGGAACACCTGAGGAAGACAAGGACAGGTCTGTGCTCCACAGGCAGCAGCTCCAAGGGTTGGTTAACCACCAAACCCAGGGAACAGCTGCTCCAGGGAAGCTCCACGAGGCCTTGGAGCAGCTCAGGAGAGGCCACAGGTGGGTGCCAGCTCAGTTCTGCTCCAGAGGCACCGGGAGCTCCTGCTCCAGCGGGATGGGGATGGGACAGGGCCCGAGGAGGCTGCAGGGACCAGAGAAATGGGATTTTCCAGGTGGGATGGAGGGTGAGGAACCAGCCCAGTGTGTCCCTGGGGCAGGGAGGAGGGAGGATCCAGACTCTTCCCAGTGCCAGGAACCACAGCGGGGAGCCCCAGCTGAGCTCTGCCCAAACCCCCTGGAGCTGACTCCTTCCCAAAAGCAGCTCCATCCCGTGTGCAGGTGAGAAATTCCTCCAAATTCCTCCCAGAGTGGCATCACGGGGGTTTAATTCCCAGACCTGCCTGTCCGGGAAGCCTGGAGGGCGATTCCCCACAAAATCCCACTCAGCCTCACTCATTCTGGAACCTGCTGCCCCGGGGCTCCCAAAATCTCCAGTTTTTCCCCAAAAGGACGGGCTCACACACCCAGCCTCGGCCTGCAGCTCTGGCTGAGCCTCCCCAAGGCCACAGAATGGGGCTGGGAGGAGGGAAACCAGGCTGGAGGTGCTGAGCCGCGAGCCACAACAACGGCATCAATTAACGCAGGAACGAATTCACTGAATCCGCAGCAGTAATAACGTTAATAAATTAGCAAACCCATAAATTAATCCCTCCGTAATTAATACCCCCATCGATTAATAACAACCTTCTCCAAGCCCTCGGGCACAGCGGGACGCTCTGGGCTGGGGGCTCTGGG